TGAAATGCAGTTCCTAGGGCATCTAAAAACCTTAAGACAACTGTTGATGTTGCCACTAATCTCTCAAATGAAGCAATTTGACACAAGGAATCATGGTTTCTTACGAGTCATTAGTGATTCTCCATTCCTTCCAGGACCAGGGTATGAGGTATTGGTGAACATTGTTGACCAGTTGACAGATCCAAAAACTGCATTTAGGTTTTGAAAGCAAAGCAATTTCAAACTCAGTAGCAAAAAAAAAAAAAAAGTCACACTATATCAAGGGATTCCATTAACGTGAAGCATTTCAATGCTACTTGGGTCATTCTGTTCACTACATGGGGAGACTGAGTTGGTCAAAACATACAACCAGTAAATGACAGGGCCAGGATGCTGATATGTACTATTATTTTACTCCACCACTCTTCTGGCTTATATTGATTTTTTTAAGGGCTTTGTTCTTATTTACATGTATAAAAGATTTTTTTTTGCCAGAAAGCCTAGTAATTTATTGTAGATATTGCCAAGTTGCTATTTTATATTGTTTCATAGTGAAGACTTTGAGGTCAGGTCTGGGTTCTAATCCCAGCTGCCTACTTATGGACTTTCCAAAAGTAAAGTAACTTTACTCCTCTGAGTTTCCATTTCCTTATTTATGGCTAACACTGAAGATTGAATGAGAGAATTTCTGTAAAGCCTGCAACCCAGGGCAAGGCATACACCTATCAGTTACTAAATGGTGACCCTTTTTAAGATAAAATTCTGAAATAGCTTTTTATGCAGTCCTGATTAGAAGCCTCATGTAACTTATATTCTCATGGGAGAGGCAAGAGAAATAGAGAAAATATATCTATACTAGTCATATGTACAAGAGACAAAAGAAAACAAGGAAGAGGAATATAAAATATTGGCAAGAAGTTGAAATTGAATAGGATGAAGAGGTAATCCCAACAAGAATTGGGACTCTTGAGTAAACACCTAAAGCAAAAGAAGGGGCTACCCGTGTAGATGTCTAAAGCAAGGGCATATTAGGTTGTGGGAACAGCAAGTGCAAAGGCCCTGAGGCAGGAGTGTGCATGGAATGTATACAGAGCACGTGGAGGGGGTTGTGGCTGGAGTAAAATAAATAAGGGACAGAACAGTAGGAACTGCAATCAGAGAGAAAACAGTGGACCAGTTTTAGAGCGTGTAGGGTCTTGGAGGTCATTGTAAGGACTATAAAGGGCTTGAGCAGAGGAGCAACATAATCTGCTCACATTTTAACAGGATGCCTTTGGCTGCTGTATTGAGAATAGGCTATTGAGAGGAATAGGAAAGGGTGGTTAACAAGATCTGTTAAGGACCAAAGTAAGAATCCAAATTGTTACCGTATCCATCTAAATGGTCTAGTCATGATGTGCTCCACCATCAAGATGCAGGAGGTTTTTCCCTGCTGTATTCATCAACACTGGGAGGAATGGGGTCGTATCATTCTGAAAGTCATCCCTCCTGGTGTTTTATTGTTCTTTAGTAGATTGTGGTGCTGGGTGGCAGTCCTATTTGCATGTAACTTTACCTGTGCCCTGCTTGTCTGGGAAATTTTCTTGCCAGAGAAGAGAGTGCTTTATAAAGTGGATGCTCTTTGTCATTTATCATGCTGGAGCCATCCCTAGTGATCGTCCCATGGCAACCAAGCCCACGGGGAAGTGCTGTTTCATTGTGAGAGTGATAGATTCTGACACTATCAGTCAACTAAAGGAAAAGTAGGTTAGTGGGGCTGACGGCACCATTGAGTTGCCTAGGGAGGGAGGATCAGCACCTCACCCGCCTCCCTTGGTGGACATCATGTTTAAAGGGGGAGCCCTTGCTACAGGAGGCAGAGAGGTCTTCTCTATTAGCCTGGAAGCTTTACTTTTCTTCGCAGCAACTTCGATGGATTTAGAGTGGATCATACTCAGTGATCTGTCACAGAAACAAAGAACTGAGTACCATATGTTCTCACTCATAAGCCAACCTTGAACAATTATCTTAATACTATAAGAAAGGGATTGGCAGTAGTGGGAAACTATCAGGGGTGGGGGGGTGGAATTGGCAGTTGAGGGAAACTGCCAGGGGTAGTTTCATCAACAAGGGTACCTGCATAATCAACGTTTGTATACCTAACCCTGAATTGTACCCCATATCTCTATAATATTAAAAAACAAAAACAAAAAAAACCTTTTTGGCTAAGATTTCTGTTATTGCCTTCAAAATTGATACCGTAATTCAAGGTTACCTATGATATCTTTGTATATATATCAGGAAAGTAAAGTAATCTTCTAATTTACTAGATTGGGATTCAACCTCACACATGTGACCTTTATACAAACTGTCATGCAATTCTTCAATAAATTAATTTTAATTTACTTGTGTGTGTGTCTGTACCTTAAAGGTAGAGAATATGTATCATAAATCAAACTTAAGTGTCATAACTACAAAAAAGCTGGAAATAATTGATTTATGTCAGTATGACTTAGCTACTGCTGACTCAAAATCCCTTTGTCTTTTAAGAATCTGTGTGAAGCCGGGCTCGGTGGCTCAGCCTGTAATCCCGCACCTTTGGGAGGCTGAGGTGAGTGGATTGCCTGAGTCCGCGGGTTCGAGACCCGCCTGGGCAGCGAGATCTCATCTCTACAATAAATCAAAAAATCAGCCGGGTGTGGTAGCTCATGCCTGTAATTCCGGCTACTCGGAAGGCTGAGGTGGAAGGATCGCCGGAGCCCAGCAGGTCGAGGCTGCAGTGGCCGGGAGCGGCCACTGCACTCCAGTCTGGGTGACAGAGTGAGACTCCAACTCAAAAGAAAAAAAACAAACAAAAAAAGAATCTGTGTGAGTTGTAACTGTTTTAACCAGAATCAGATCAAATATGAATGGATCAAGTGCAATGTAGCATCATTAGAAGACATCAGTGACGTATGCTCAGTTTATAAATTGAGTATATTTATCGGTTTAATTACAAACATATTTCACATTTTCCTTAGCTGGAAAAGAAACTAGATGATTATTTTATGTTTTACGTATTAAGAACATCAGGTATGTATTTTGAGATACTTAATTATATGATTTATTTTATGTTTTTATTTCCCCAATGCCTTTATTATTGTTAGTCTTCTTGGAATAAAAGAAAAAAATGGATACTCATTAATTCATGATTTTGCTTTTCTGGTCATATTTGTATGAGTGCTCTTTTCGTCCATGATATTTAACAGGCACAGCCACTTACTCATGTATTATTTCATTAGGCCCTAAGAGGACCTCTGTGGATGCAGAAGGTAGATAGCATGGCTCCATTTTATAGCATAGGCGAATCAAGGTTCAGGAACAGACTCTTATCTTTGGATTATGATTGTAGAACACTATCCCAAACACTGAACTGGCTTTTATGTAATCTTTTTCAGATTTATAGCACTCTAGTAGTTGTAGAATGAACAGATATTTTGTAGCAAGCTGAATTCAGTAGCAATAAACATTGATGACAGTATTCTTGTGTTTGAAATTTCTTTTTTTTTGAGTTGGAGTCTCACTCTGTCGCCCAGACTGGAGTGCAGTGGCCGCTCCCCGCCACCGCAGCCTCGACCTGCTGGGTTCCGGAGATCCTTCCGCCTCAGCCTTCCAAGTAGCTGGAATTACAGGCATGCGCTACCACGCCCGGCTGATTTTTTTGATTTATTGTAGAGATGAGGTCTCGCTGCCCAGGCGGGTCTCGAACCCGCAGGCTCGGGCAATCCACTCACTTCAGCCTCCCAAAGGCGTGGGATTACAGGCTGAGCCACCGAGGCCGGCTGAAATTTCTAACCAATGTACTTGTGTATATTTCTTACCTGTGTCCTCTTAGAAACTTGCATTCAATCCAGAAAGTTATTAAAACATGCTTTATAAAGATAAACCAATTCTCACAAATGTAAAGTGGAATGAAAGAAGTCACAAAAGAGAACAAACAGTATGATTCTCTGTATAGAAAGTTCAAATACAAGCAAAATAAAGTGGTGGTGTTAGAAGTCTGGATAGCAGTTAACCTTGTTTGGGGGAGTGTGGATGGGAGGGAGGGGCTGTATTGATCTGGGTGCTGGTTGTACATATGTTCTCTTTGGGAAGATTCACTGACTCCAGTAAAATTGTTTTTAAAAACCTTATTTTCCTAAGTGGTAGTTCAGTTTTAATGCTTTGGATGTGAGCAGTTCGTATACATTTAATTGTGTATTATAAACTGCCATTTCCCCACAAAAGTCAATTACCCTTTTTGTTGTTGCTTCTATTCACATTGCATTTATTTTGCATTCTCGGAGCTTCCTTGTCACAGAACCAGCTGCCACGGAGCCACGGTGAAGTCCATCATAAAATGCTTGCCAACACAACTTCCTTGCTTAACGCTTCTTAAGATGTTATGGGAAGAGAGGTATAGAAAGGATCTTCAGTTAGGATGTTAATCTGCATCAAAACAGACACTGCTAGAAATGTTTTCATGGAATTCCGAATAGGGCTCAGAGCAGCGCTTTAGTCAGCTTCTTATAATTTCACAATTTCACACTGATTTTTTCCCCATATAAATGGTTTCAGAAGAGCACAAATAGTTGAACGACAATAGCTCTGTCATTTTTGAAATGCCCCTTGAAGTCAAAACCTAAAGGAAATATGATTGAGACTAGAAATTACTTCATGCAAAGCTAAATTTTAATAAAAATGAAAACCGATGACCACTGCTATGATGTTCATCTACGCTTCTAATGTTAAAGTAAGTCCATAAGCTTTCTGACCATACATAGTACACAGAGGGAAAACAGGAAGAACGTCAAATGTTTTGTGGGTCAGCAAAACCTTTTGCAGTCCTCACAGTTGACAGACTAAGCCCTGTGTGAACCGTATATGTTAGGGGTTGTCTTCCAGAAGATGAGCAAACCATTGCTTCTGTTCCTAAATGGGGCCACCTTTTAAATAAGAAATATGTTTTTAAATGTTTCTGCCAACTGTTTACACTATGGCTGCTTCTTCTTTTTTCTCTGCAGTGTTCCCTCTCCTCTTCAGAAGAAGAAAGATTTATTTCCATCAGGAGACCTAAAACGCCAACCTCAGGTGACTTCTCCGACCTTAATACTCAGACGAACTGGACCAGGTCACTTCCACTGCCAACCCCGGAAGAAAAGATGCGACAGCAAGCCCAAACAGTCCAGGCTGATGTGGTTCCTATTAACATAACTGGTATGCTTTGCTAGGCAGACAGGTTCAGAATGTGCTTTGTATTTGGGAGAATGACTATGGCTTTTTGTTTGTTATATGCTCTTAGCATTTCATTTATACAGCAGAGGTGGGTAGCTGCGGTCTGACTTCCTGCTCTTTGTTTAATGAGGGGAATACTAAAATTGCATATGTGTGTACATGTAAAATATCTCTTGCTTGTTAGATGAGAACACTGTGTCACCAAAGGTTGGTGTCAAAGAACCCATGGTCCAACTATTCGCCTAAAGAGTATCTTTTTAAAATTAAATTTCTTTTTAATAAGCTTTTGATTATTTAGAAACATTTTCTAAATATAGTTCTAGGCAAGAAAATATATATATATATTTCGCTTCCAAAGTATTATGCTAAGTAATATTATAGTAGTGAAGAAATAATCATTGTATATTTCCAAATGATAGATTTTTCCTTACCTTCTCTTTTTCTCAAGTAGAAAAAGGGAAACTTTACTTGAAATAAAAATAGCAAGTGAATTAACGGTAACTCCAAAAACATAGTTTAAAAATCCTAGCCGGGCTCAGTGGCTCAGCCTGTAATCCCGCGCCTTTGGGAGGCTGAGGTGAGTGGATTGCCTGAGTCCGCGGGTTCAAGACCCACCTGGGCAACTTGGCAAGACCTCATCTCCACAATAAATCAAAAATTAGCCAGGCATGGTAGCACGTGCCTGTAGTTCCAGCTACTTAGAAGGCTGAGGCGGAAGGATCGCCCGAGCCCAGCAGGTCGAGGCTGTGGTGGCCGGGAGCCTCCACAGAGTGAGACAGAGTGTGACAGAGTGTGACAGAGTGAGACTCCAACTCAAAAAAAAAAAAAAAATTCTAATAGGGTAATAAAATTACATTTTGATTTCTATAATTTGAGTTCCACATTCTTCAAACAAAAATCCATTTCTTCTGAATATAAAATGTTTAGAATGTAACATTAAGCTGGAATACAAATATTAATTGCTAAATCTGAAATTCACGTTCTTATGGAGTATTAGCCCAGCTTTAATCCTTTGTGATAATTGAGGGGACAAACAACAAGGCACATAAAGCTCAAATATGATCTTTCATGAACATGGCAGAGCTCTTGAAAATATCTCACGATGTTTCTGTTGTATCACCTCCATAGCCCACAACCTGCATGGGTCAGTGGTGTGGGCTGGGTACAAAGTACAAAGCAGACGTACTGAGAGTTAGTAGGTTCAAACGTTCAGCTGTGTGCTCAGTGGAGACAGATGACAAACAGTCATCATTGATAATCAGTCCACACAAAGCAGGGCCTCTAGGGACAGAACCTACAAAACAGGTGACGAGAAGGATGAGCTTTCATAAACAATTAGAATGAAAACCCATAGCAATTTTACTGTGCTTCTGAGGCTACTGCTATTTAGAAAGCTGTAGAAAGCTTGTGGCAATGGTGAGCTTGTAAGGGGCTAATAACATTTTGATAGTTAATGAAGACTTTTTAAAAAACTGTGGGATGGTTAGAACACGTAATAAATAAGTGTATGAATTATTTTAATTTAACATACATTCTCCCACATTTATTTTACTTAAACCTTAAAGAAATAGAGGGCATTTTAATCCATTTTCTTTGCAAATACCATTGTTGATCTTTCTGAATGTGTTCTTATTTACCTAGATCACATTTTTAAAAGATTATCTTTAAAAATACCTATGTTTTAGAACAAAGTTTTGTTTATTGCTCAATGCAACACATGGGTGCATATTTTCTATAAGAAAATGAATGACAGTATTTGATTGATTAAATGCAGCAGAAATGTAATTACATTATATATGATTAAATGCATATGAAATAATATTACAAGATAAGAAGATTATGGTATGAAATATGACAGTTCTTAATGGAATTAGGGTGAAATGCATTATCTTGACATTAGGAGATATAAAATAGATAAAATAGAGGAACTAGAGTCTCAGGAATAAAGAATTGTTTGCAATGAATTACATTGTCACAACAGAAGACAGTGTCATATCTTTGAGCTTTAATTCTCTCTTGTTTGATGACTAAGTAGAGATGAATTAAATAGAGTTTAAAGGGAGGCCTTTAAAATGCCACACAGGAAAGGTGAAGGACAAAAAGAAAGAGCAATATGAGTTATGTCAAAATGCAATTTACTTTTAATTGAGTGATTAACATTTTGCAGAAATGTCAAAATTAAATATAATACTAATCACCTGTTTATTGATCCATTTTAAGACCTGTGTGTTCACAGGCACCCACATATGTTTCCTAAAGGATTAGTTTTTCTAATCTGGTGTAAAGAAGCAGTAAATTTTAATTTTTTATTTTTGGTGGTTGAATTGGCATAGGTTATACAATTTCCTGCTCTCTAATTATATATTTTTAAAGTTCTAGAAGACTTTGGGGATAAAAATGAAGCTTCCTATAAGGAAACTGCCATGTGCTTGTCAATTAAGATGAGCATTGAACCTCTAGATTGATTTTTGCCGAGGCTCAGAAGGAAAAAAAATGCCAATAAATGTATTATTTCAAATCCGGAGTGCAGCCCACCAGACAGAGAGGTAGAACATTAGCACAATGAGCTACTGGCTTGAAAATTGATTTAATATTTTTAATTATAGTCCTGTGGGCACCTGGCATGTTCTAAGAGTTGAGGAGGGAAAAAACCATTTAAGTTAAAATGTACATATTAATCTGTTCCATAATCTGCCATGTGAGATAACAATTCTTTTACCTGGAAGATACATATAATAGGTAAATTTAAGATAACATGCTTAAACAATTTTTACAGACTGGCTTTGCACTGATGTTTGAACTACCCCAGTTTATTTCTAAATAGTAGGTATGACTGACTAATGCCATTCTTCAATGAAAGGGAGTGATTACATTCAAACAGACGTTTATTGAATGACTACTTTGTGCTGGGCACTAGCTGAGTGCCTGCTAAAGTACATGAATCAAGGATCCTACCTTCAAAAAATGTATAATCCAGTAGAGGAAACAGTTTTTTGCTTGTTTATTTGTTTCAGTTGGAGTCTCACTCTGTTGCCCAGACTGTAGTGCAGTGGCTGCTCCCGGCCACCGCAGCCTCGACCTGCTGGGCTCCGGCAATCCTTCCGCCTCAGCCTTCCGAGTAGCCAGAATTACAGGTGTGCGCTACCACGCCCGGCTGATTTTTGATTTATTGTAGAGATACGGTCTCACCAAGTTGCCCAGGGTCTCGAACCCGCGGTCTCAGGCAATCCACTCACCTCAGCCTCCCAAAGGCGCAGGATTACAGGCTGAGCCACCGACCCGACTGAGGAAACAGTTTTTTTAGGTCATGATGCAAGATGAAAATTTGGTGTTTAATGGTGGACGTCATAAATGTTTATCTTCACATAGTTCGTTTCTTAAGTTCTTGGAGTTTGGGTGGTTTTATCTTTTGTTTTTGTCCTGGAAGCAAAATTGGAGGCTAAATGCAACTTTCTATTAACGTTTTGTCTATTCTTAACGTCGCCATAGAAGGAAGTTTTTTCTTCTGCTGCAGGAAACTAATGAACTATTATTGCAGTCATGACTTACCCCTTATAAGCACCATTTATGCCATGCACATAGTGACCAAGTTTTCACAACATTGGCACCTTCTGGCATTTCAGGGTCTTCTGTCAGTCTTTTCTGTTTTTCTCCATTAACAACAAAGTTGCAAGCAATTTTAAGTTTGCAAGAATTTGTTTAAGTTAATTCCTCAGTAGGTGAAATGTGTTTTGATCATTCAGATAGTTTACTCTCTGCTTTGGTTAAATAAGGCTCAGAGTTTTTTTCCTACCAAAATAGAAGTTGCATTGTCCACAACATACCCACTTTGAATGTGTGTCAATATTACTAAAAAAAAAGAGTGAATGATTTATACTTTTCTTATGCATAAAATGATAAAGTTTGTAATTTGTATATACTATATATTTTAAATCACTTTTTGAGGAGAATAACCCTTCAAAAAGGTCAGTGCCGTAAAACTTTCTTTAAACTGGCAAGTAATTGGAAGCAGACAGATCAACAGCTGATACTGTTATACACTTTATTATTATGGTTTCTCACGTGTGTTAATCACACAGGCTTACACTCTAGAAGGAAAAAATGTCCTGTGGATGTGGCATTCCGGGTTTGATCACAAAATCCCTGAAATTTCTGTATTGAGATCAACCTTACGAAATAATTATGAAACAGAGAGAAGCAGTTTAGCTTTAACAACAGCCGTGCTACTGGGTCTCATTGTGGTAAAAGTACGTTATCATTTTAAGCCTTTCCTTTTCTCACCGTAGTTGTATTTCACACCATAAAAATTACCACAGTCTATCCAAATTGTCAGACTCCTTGATTGAAGAAAGAGCTCTTCATCTAAGAAATCTTGATTGAGTTACTTGTTTTATCATACAAGATGAGATGTGATGTCAGTCTCCGCAAGGTGGCCAGACGGATAAAACATACTCATTGTCGTCTCCACATCCATGCTGATGTAAAGAGTGGTTTCGGTGACCAGAGGATATATGAAAAACCCTTCCAAAACAATCCATTTTTAAAATCAACACAGAAGCACCCTTTGCAGTGTGTTGTTAACAAATTTACATTTGCTACTTCAGCTCGTTTGAAAGAGACGAAGGTGCTTCCTTGGGAAGGACACACATGTAGAAATTGGAAAATGGCCTTACGATGATAATGTGCTTTCCTTCCTTTTTTGCCCTTCAGCATTCCTCATCATATGACTGGCTAACATCATTATTAATACCTTCTTATCATTTTACAACAAGCTTCTGGAAGAAAGTGCATGGTGTCAGCTTGCTTGAAAATAACAGTGCTTTGCTTGTTCTACTACTCTACATTAGGGGAGAATTTCGATCGCCAGGCCAGCCTTCGGCGGTCTCTAATTTACACAGACACTCTGGTAAGACGACCGAAGAAAGTCAAAAGGAGAAAGACTATTACAGGAATCCCTGACAACATACAGAAGGAGCTAGGTATGGCTCATCAGAACTGTATTCTACTGCCCCTCATTGCTGCTTGGCATTACTACGCTAACCTCATTCATGGTGCTCACAGTCAATACATTCTGATAGCCGTGGGGGGCCTCAGAGGGCCAGCTTCTTTCCTGAATGAGGCATTTGGTGCAAATCTTAATACTCCACGCAGAGACAGTTTACTGAATTTGGGAAAGACGGTACAGGGGAAAGAGCTCATATGAAAACTATTGACTGGGCTGATGGAAGTTGGTAGTTACATCATCATCTCTGTGTACCTTGAACTTTGGTTTTCTTCATGATCAAATTTATTTTTCATCTAGAACTTGGGTTTTCATGAAACTGAAAACTTATTCTAGGACTTCGGGTTGTGAAAATGAACTTCACTAGTTATATTGACAATACTGGTAGCATTTTGTCATGAAAAACAGCAGTCTGGGAATGTAAATGTCAGTATGATAGAAAATAGTCATTTATTTTGGATAATGCCTTCATTACTTTCAGTGAAACAGTTTCATATGTTCTTTATTCAGTAGTTTACACACTGTGATAAAAGCAGAAAACAAAATTTTGGCTGGTAGAGAGTATTATTTAGTTCATTATTCACTTATCTATTTTTCTGCTTATCCTTACGTATACCTTGAATAATATTTTTGTTTTCACCTTTCTATGTTAATCTCCTCTCCCTGTTTTGTTTTGTTTTTTTGAGTTGGAGTCTGATTCTGTCTCCTAGGCTAGAGCACAGTTGCACGCTCACAGCTACTGCAGCCTTGACCTGTTGGGCTCAGGTGATCCTTCCATCTTAGCCTTCTAAGTAACTGGAACTACAGGCATGCGCCACCACACCAAGCTAATTTTTTTATTTATTGTAGAGACAAGGTGTCGCCATGTTGTCCATGCTGGTCTTGAACCCCTGGGTGCAGGCAATCCTCTCACCTCCAGTGCCCAAAGCGTTGGGATCATAGGTGTGAGCCACCACCCCTGGCTCTCCCTGTTTTTTAATGGGGTCCAGCAGGAATGTCTGCAGAGCCAGCATGGCATAGCTCCTGGGTCAGCAGTAGGACTTTAGCACCAGACGGCTTGGGGTTGCACCCTAGCTCTGCTACTCACTCCCTGGGTGATCTCATTGCTTTACCTCTCTGAGTCAAATGGGGCTGGTGAGGTTAATAGAACCTACCTCAGAGAGGTGTCTGAGGACTAAATGAACTTATACATTGAAGGCACTTAATATCTGGTAATACTACAATGTAATAGCTACCGTGGTTATTATTATAGGGAACTTAATCCTACCTCTCTTGACATTTGCTCCTTCCCCTTCAGCCAATTCATGTAACTTATTTTCTAAAAGTTGCTTTCACATGACGTTTTTATTTACTGTGGGAGGTTACACTCTAGAAACCTAGAGTGTGGCAACCCCTTCGGGTCCCCTCCCACTGTGGGAGCTTTTCTATCCTCTCAATAAATCCTGCTTTAAAAAAAAAAGAAAGAAACTCAGAGTCATTATTTCTGAAATTGTCAATTAGTCTTTTAGCCAAAATGAGTTTGTCCTAGCAATAGTGATGTATCTATCACAGCACCTTGAGGTTGCATTTCAGCTTCTGGCTGCTACTGACATTGTGCTTATGTATTTTTGTTCCCTCTAACATCCCTGTTTAAATGCCTTATATTAGCGAGAACAGATTCACTCTTTTTTCCCTGGTGTTTTCTGCTTTACTGTCATCCAATTCTGCAGTATATATGCTGGCTCTGCCCTCTAGACAGTAGCACAGTCCGACAGGAAGATGATGCTCTGCCGCTCCTCCAGGTAGCTCCAGTGACCCAGATAGTATACAGGTGCTCATCTTACTCCATAACAGAAGGCTTTATTAGAACCAGAGACAGGAGTGCAGCTGCTCCCATCGGAGTTGTGAAGTCTGTCTTTGGCTTATGACCTGCATGCGGTTGCTTTTAGTGGGCCAGTTCTCCTGTAGCCACCTGAGGCCTTCAGGCACTGTCTCTCAACTTACTACGTAAGGACATGTGTATTTTCGCCCTATCTTCTCAACTTTTCTATATATTATTCTTTGAGACTTGTTTTTAAACAGTTCTTGAGATGGCAGCTAACTGATTTAAGAAACTTATCTGTACTTACATGTTCTGTAGATATTCACTGGGCCAATTTCTTATAGTACTCTGGTAGCCTTTTTGCTTTGATTGGTCTTTTTAGATGTGCCTTAAAGGAGTGACTTAAAAGGCAGGCAATTCGGTCCTCTGTAAGATTAGAAGTTGATATTTTGAAGTAAGCTGCATTTTATTAATAAATGGCTTTCCAACCAAAATAGGTTGGTTGACCTTGTGCAAAGAGTGTAAGGATACTTTTGCTCAGATAAAGATACACATGCATGTAAGTAGTCAATATGAATTCTCTCTCTCTCTCTCTCTCTCTCTCTCTCTCTCTCTCTCTAATGACAGAGGCATGAATTTTCATCACTTTTATTACTGAACCAATCACTGTGGTGCTATACAAACTCAGCAGTTTCTTTGATCATATGGGAATGATCTGGCCAGTTAGGTAAATCATGCCTTCTGTAACTTTAATTTTTTTTTTTTTGAGTTGGAGTCTCACTCTGTTGCCCAGATTGGAGTGCAGTGGCACACTCACGGCCACCACATCCTCAACCTGCTGGGCCCAGGTGATCCTTCCACCTCAGTCTTCCAAGTAGCTGGAACCACAGGCGCATATCTCCTTGCCTGGCTAATTTTTTGATTTATTGTAAAGATGAGATCTTGCCAAGCTGACCAGGCTGTTCTCGAACCCCTGGACTCAGGCAATCTTCTCGCCTCCACCTCCCAGTGTGCTGGGTTTACAGACATGAGCCATCACACCCAGCAACTTTAATATTGTAAAAATCAGTGATTGAGTCCCTGGAACCCCCATTCGTTTACTTTTTACATGTGACATGGAACTACCACTAATGCTGGAGGGAAGAAAATAGCTTTCCTCACATCATCTGTGATGTGGCTGTTGCCAGACAAGAGGCAGCCAATTTCACTGCAGTCAGTGACATGACCTGGATTAGAGCTGGAGGTCAACTGAGACAACTGTGTCTCAGAGCTAGTTAAAAAAAAAAAAAACAATTAGACAAGAATGCTAGGTTTATATTTAGGCTGGTTGGAGGATTGGCGGACAGTATGAAGGAATAACATTTTAATATAGTTTTATTTAGCAAAAAAATTGGATCATATATTTATTTGATAGTGTATAATATATATTTAAATTACAATAATATATTATTAAGGGTTAATATATTTATTATTAAAACTTGATAACATATTATTAAGACTTAGTAATATATTTATTATTAAGACTTCTGGTTGATGTTGCCTTTTCTCCCAATATTTTGCACTTCTAAGGCCTCTGGTTTGGAAGTCTGGTATTGCCTAACAAATGATTATCAAAAGTAGATACTATATTTAAAATTCATCTTCTACTAGATATACAGTATAAGGGGAAAGTATGCCAGAGTCAAACAGATTAGACAAAAAGAAAATGATGATCTGAAGGAAAGGCATTCGCTAGGAAAGACACACCCTGTCCTGTAGACACTGCCCAAGTTGCTTTGAATTTGAAACTAACCATGCCATGTTTCCATGAATTAGAAAGTTATATTATGCCTAATTATATGCAGTTTTTACTTCAAAATCCATAAATAGCGGACTTTTAGACTAGCCAATATATTGTGCTTTAAAATCAAGGTATAATATTTAATGCTTATTTTCAAAGCTTATCTGATAACTTACAGTTTGTTGCCTTCTATTTAAATGAATTGGACATATCAAAAATTTTTTTTCTTTTTTTTTTTTGAGACTCAGGGTTTTCACTCTGTTGCCCAGGCTGGAGTACGGTGACACAATTACAGCTCGCTGCAGTCTCAACTTCCTGGGCTCAAGGAGTCCTCCCACCTCAGCTTCCCCAGTAGCTGGGACTAATGGTGCATGCCACCACACCGGGCTAATTTTCTGATTTCGTTTGTAGAGATGAGGTCTCTCCATGTTGCCCAAACTGATCTCAAACTCCTGGGCTCAAGTCATTCTTCTGCCTCAGCCTCCCAAAGTGCTGGGATTACAGGTGTGAGTCATCATGCTCGGCCTTTTTTGTTCTTAAAACTACACAAAAACCTATATGAGTGTCATATGTATTGTGAGATTTCATCTTTTAGAATCAGATAGGATTATTTTGCTGATAGATAATTATATTTGGCTACTGAACTTATCCCCATATGTATTCCCTAAGTAGAAAGAGCCTCATTTAAAGGAATCCTCTATGAATAATTTTTGATAGGTTTATTAAGAAACTATCTACCTGACAAAACTTTTTTAAATGTCATATACTAAACCTTCAATAAACTAACTTGTAGATTCTTATCATCCTTAGTTACATTTTTTAAGAAATTGAAAATATATTATTAATAAGTAAAAAATATACACAATATTTTAAAATCAGATAAATCCTATTAAGATTTTGAAGAGCCCCTAAGTGGTCTATATTTGTTTGTAGTTCTCTTTTTCAGTTGTTATTTGTTCTTTAAATCAGTCCAGGCATATCTTGGAGATATTGCAGATTTGGTCCCAGACCACTGCAATGAAGTGAATATCACAATACAAGTCACATGAAGTTTTGGTTTCCCAGTGTATATAAAAGTTATGTTTATACTATAGTGTGATCTGTTAAGTGTGCAGGAGAACTTTATCTAAAAAAATACATTCTTTAATATTAAAATATTTTATGGCTTAAAAATGTTGATGATCATCTGAGCCTTCAGAGAGTTGAAATCTCTTTGCTGGAGGAGGGTCTTGCCTTGATACTGATGGCTGGTGATTGAGCAGGGTGGTGGTTGTTGAAGGTTGGGTGGCTGTGGCAATTTGTTAGAATAAGACAACAATAATGTTGGCCAGATAATGGGTATCTTTCATGAAAGACTTTTCTGTAGCATATGATACTATTTGGTAGCATTTTACCCATAGTAGGACTTCTTTCATAGCTGGAATCAATCCTCTCAAACTTTGCCACTGCTTTATCAACTAAGTTTATGTAATATTCTAAATTATTTGTTGTAATTTCAACAATGTTCTCAGCAGCTTCACCAGAAGTATATTTCATATCAAAAAACTGTTTTATTTTCTCATTCATAAGAAACAGCTCCTTATCTGTTCAAGTTTTATCATGAGATTATAGCAATTCAGTCACCTATTCAGGCTCCACTACTAATTCTATTTCTCTTGCTATTTCTGCCACATCTGAAGTTACTTTCTCCACTGAAGTCTTAAACCCCTTAAAATTACCCATAAGAGTTGGAATGAACTTCTTCTAAATAGGATTTTTCCTATTAATGTTGATATTTTTAATATCAACCATGTATCACACAAGTTCTTAATGTTTTAGAGTAGTGAATTCTTTCCAGAAGGTTTTAAATTTATTTTGCCCAGATTTATCAGTGGAATCACTATCTATGGCAGCTATGGCCTTCGGAAGTATATTTCTCAAATAAGACTTGAAAGTCAAAATTACTCCTTTATCCATAGGCTGCAAAATGGATGTTGTGTTAGCAGGCATGAAAATAACATTCCTCTCTTGGTGTATCTCCCTCAGGGTTCTTGGGTAACTAAGTGCATTGTAAGTGAAATAAGTCTTTTTTCCTGAGCAGTAGGTCTCAATAGTGGGCTTAAAAATATTCAGTAGGCCATGCTATAAACAGATGTGCTGTCACATCTGTTTATGTATTGTATTCCACTTGTAGAGCACAGGCAGAGCCTATTTAGCATAATTCTTAAGGATCTTGGAGTCTTTAGAATGGTAAATGAGCACTGACTTCAATTTAAAGTCACCTGCTGCATTAGCCCCTGAAGAGTTAGTCAGCCTGACCATTGAAGCTTTTAAGTCAGGTATTGATCTCATCTCTCTACCTATGAAAGTACTAGATGATATCTTCTTCCAATAAACGGCATTTCGTTTCCATTGAAAATCTGTTGTTTAGTGTAGCCACCTTCTTTTAATGATCTTAACTAGGTCTTAGATAACTTGCTGCAGCTGCTACCTTAGTGCTTGCTGCTTCACCTTGTACTTTTACGTAACGGAGATGACTTCTTTCCTTAAACCTCATGAGCCAGCCTCTGCTAGCTTCCAACTTTTCTTCTACTTCCTCACTTCTCTCAGCTTTTAGAGAATTGAAGAGAGTTAGGGCCTTGCTTTGGATTAGGTTTTGGCTTAAGGAAATGTTGCAGTTTGTTTAATCCTCTATCTAGAACAGTCAAACTTCCTCTGTATGAGCAATAAGGCTGTTTTGCTTTTTTATCATTGATGTGTTCACTGGAGTAGCACTTTCCATTTCTTTCAAGAACTTTACCTCTGCATGCACAACTTGACTAACGGTTTGGTTCAAGAGACCTTGCTCCTGGCCTATCTTGGCTCTCGACATGCCTTAATCATTTCCAGCTTTTGACATGTGACTCTTCCTTTCACTTGAACACTTAGAGGCTGGTGTAGGGTTATTAATTGTCCTAATTTCAGTATTGCTGTGTCTCAGAGAATAGAGAGGCCCAAGGAGAGGGAGAAAGACAGGGAAATGGCTGGTGGGACAGTCAGAACACACATTTATTGATGAAGTTCACTGTCTTCTGTGGGATGGGTGGCAACTCAAAACAATTGCAATAGTAACACCAAAGATCACTGATCACAGATCACCATAACAGACATAATAATGAAAAAGTTTGAAATATTGCAAGAATTACCAAAATGTGACACAGAGACACATGCTGTTGAAAAAATGGTGCCAATAGACTTGCTTGATGCAGGATTGGCACAAACCTTCATTTTGTAAAAAAACAAAAACAAAGACACACAATTATCTACAAAGCACTATAAAACAGAGTACAATGAAACAAGGTATGCCTATAGCATTCATCTGATTCCTGTAATATTTGAAAGTTTTTGTACTGTGAAAATATTGGAGGGTCTGTTTTAGGAATCGAATTTTGCTGGTCTTTATGACAAATTATATAGCAGTTGTTTCTCATGTTTTTAATGTTTTTAGAAACATTGCTATTTTAATAAGAAAGTTATACTTAGCTGTAAATGGTGAAGAGATAGTTACACTTCTATTTTCAGAAGCCTAGAATGGTCTCATTTAAAACTGTTATCCAAAAGTATCAGGATTTTGTTTTATGACACGTAAAGACAGTTAAAAATCTACCACTAACCCTAAGCAAAAACTACTACAATTTTGAAAGAAAAATATTAAAACTCAGTATTAGATGGAATGAGGTATTTTGAATGTTTGAAATTGAACACATATATACTGACACAAAAATACAAATCAAACTCTCATCTTCTAAGTTACCAAATAACAAAAACTCACATCTTTTGTTTTTCTTTCCTCAAAGTGAATTTTTCTCCTGTTCCTGCCCTTTTGCCCACGTCTCCTTTTTCTGACAAGATCGGGCACGTTCAGGGTGGTATGGCTGTAGACAATGTCTCCTTTTTCTGAGAGACAGCCCTGTGTGTGTGCGCGCACGCGTCTGTGTCTGTCTTCAGTGAGTAGGTACTTGGCAGAGAGTAAAGAAATAGATCTCTTTGCTAAAGATAAAAAATGACTCTCCATCATCACATAAAGGACTTTATGCTGAGAGCCACCCTTGCAGGGTGCCATCTCCCTTGAGGTTGATAAAGCACATTGCTGCCATTTCAGTAATGCCCTTTGCTATTTGGATGAGCAAAAGGCTTTATACATCTAGTCTGTGCAGTGGTTAAATTATATGGGAGTAGAGCAAAATCTGAGGAATCCCATCAGTACCAAGGTCAAGTCCAGGTGTCCACTGATACTGATGGGTATGCTGGACTCACATTGCTGAGCAAGCCCGTGCATAAGATACTTTCAGGTTCTTATTGGATGAAGACAACATGGAGAGAATTGTGATCTTACTACTATTTTTATAGATTTACTTTGTTCTAGGGATTGACTTTTTTTCCCCCCTCAGTACCCTTGGAGTAAGTTCTTGGCTTTGTGATTTCTCCCCCCCCCCAAGCTCTGTTCTTTCCTGGATAGCTTGAAATTTGTTTATCTGCTTTTAAGGTTTTTCCTCATCCACTTCCCTCTGCTTGCCCTTCATTGTATTTCTTTCTTTCTTTAACGTACTCTTCTGTTTGGTTGTAAAACTGCAGCAAATGAATCACTGTCATTTGAGGAAATGTTAACTGGATCAGTTCCTGCTGGTTTCCCCCCACCAGAACACAACAGATTGCTGTTGAATTTTGAATGTCACCAACAGACAGATAATGGCTTAAGATGGATAATGAAATGTTTGGAACACAGATGGGCCTGTAAATCAATTTTCTTTTTCTTCAAATTTCCTTCTGACAAAAGGAATTAACGTAATTAACACTGTTTGATACCAGTATCCCTCATAAATGGTATCTCTGTGACCCTATTGTTCAATGCCTAAGTTTACCTGCCTTTGGGAAGGATGCATCACTGCTTGATAGATGCTCTGCACAGTCCCTGGTAGGAAAAGGCTACCTTGAAGTCTTTACTAAAAAGTGGCCATTTAAAAGTAAATCCTCTAGCCGGGCTCGGTGGCTCAGCCTGTAATCCCGCGCCTTTGGGAGGCTGAGGTGAGTGGATTGCCTGAGCCCGCGGGTTCGAGACCCGCCTGGGCAGCGAGACCTCATCTCTACAATAAATCAAAAAATCAGCCGGGCGTGGTAGAGCATGCCTGTAATTCCGGCTACTTGGAAGGCTGAGGCGGAAGGATCGCCGGAGCCCAGCAGGTCGAGGCTGTGGTGGCCGGGAGCGGCCACTGCACTCCAGTCTGGGCGACAGAGTGAGACTCCAACTCAAAAAAAAATAAAAATAAAAATACAAAAATAAAAATAAATCCTCTACAGAGTACTCAGTAGCCTCCACGGGGTTACCTGAGAATTCCATATGCAGCACTCAAGCCTAGGAAGACCTGAAGTACAAATGAAGAGAAGCACATGACATTATAAGGAATTTTATTTTAGAGCTGTAACTATTGAAACATATTTAGGTATCCATAGGAGAAAAGAAACTAAATCAAATAGAATCATTTTGTGTTTTTTTGTTTTGTTTTAAATTACAACAGTCAGTCAAAGGGGCTGAGGGTACAGGTGACGAACTGCAGATTTTTATTTTCAGGTTAACAAGCCTCTTTCTCCTTTATCTCCAGCCTCAGGTGCAGGCCAAGATGGCATTGGTGGTCACTCCATGTACACCCCAGACCACTACTCTACACTAGGAAGGCTCGATAGCTATCGGTCTGCTGGGCAGCGCTCAGAAACCAGGGACTCCAGCTGTCAGACGGAGGATGTGAAAGTCGTGCCACCTTCGATGAGAAGAATCAGGGCACAGAAGGGGCAGGGCATTGCTGCCCAGATGGGCCATTTCTCGGGCTCCTCAGGCAACATGTCTGTGCTGAGCGATTCTGCGGGTGTGGTGTTCCCTTCTCGCCTTAACCACGAAGCTGGTTTCCACAGTCTTCCACGTTCAGGAGTGAGGGCGAACATTCAGTCCCTCGAGCCTAGGCTGAGTGCCCTGGGGCCTGCAGGAGATATGGATGGCACTTTCCCTCACCAGAGGGAGAACCCACAAGTAAATGAAAACTTAGGACGTTTAGGGGGTGCCTCAAGGACAGGAACACTGTTGAGGCCCAAATCCCAGGAGCTGAGGCACTTTGAGAGTGAAAACGTCATGAGCCCCGCATGTGTGGTTTCTCCTCATGCGGCGTACTCCACCAGCATCATCCCCAATGCGACACTGTCTTCCTCTTCAGAGGTTATCGTTATTCACACGGCTCAGAGTTCAGGGCAGCTGGAAAGTAAAATTACCAGCTCATCATATGCAAAGACAAAATCCAGAGACCACCTCCCCTCTAGACATGCTGTGAGAGATGATCATCCATCTCCCAGGCGTCACTGGCACGAGGGGCACTCCACCATTCTCTCCCAGGCCCTAGACACCCATTCTCCCAGTGCAACCACACTGCTGTCCCTCTGTGATTCAGAGGTCTCTCTCAACGCCCCAGCAAATAGGGAGAATGGGTCCCAAGCCGTGCCATATAATTGTAGAAACAACCTGGCCTTCCCAGCCCACCCCCAGGATGTGGATGGCAAGAGTGAGTCTAGTTATTCCGGGGGTGGAGGGCAGGGCGGTCCAGAGCCCTGGGAATACAAAGCCTCAGGTAACGGCCAGGCATCCCTGCTGAAGCCACATCCGGCAACACCTGGCTATTCCACCCCCGCAAGTAACATGAGCAGCTGCAGTTTGGATCAGACGTCCAACAAAGAGGATGCAGGGTCGCTGTATTCTGAGGACCACAATGGCTGCTGCACGTCTGCACTCACCGACGCTGGGCGTGGGTCTGGGAATCTGTGTAATAGCAGTGATGGCTTTGGGAACCCCAGGCACAGCGTGGTTAATGTTTTTGATGGAAGAGCTCAGAAAAGCCAAGGGGACAGGTCGCATTACCAGGATAAATCCCTTTCGAGAAACATCTCTTTGAAGAAAGCAAAGAAGCCCCCCCTGCCCCCCTCCCGGACAGACTCCCTGCGCAGGGTTCCCAAGAAGAGCGGCCAGTCCAACGGGCAGGTGCTCAATGAGAGCCTGATCGCCACTCTCCAGCACTCGCTGCAGCTGAGCCTCCCGGGCAAGGGTGGCAGCTCGCCCTCCCAGAGCCCCTGCAGTGACTTGGAGGAGCCCTGGCTGCCCCGATCCCGCAGCCAGAGCACAGTCAGTGCCGGCAGCAGCATGACCTCTGCCACCACCCCCAACGTCTATTCCCTGTGTGGGGTCACTCCGTCGCAGAGCGACACGAGCAGTGTCAAGTCGGAGTACACGGACCCTTGGGGTTACTACATCGACTACACAGGCATTCAGGAAGACCCGGGGAACCCAGGAGGTGGCTGTCCAACCAGCAACGGGGCACCTCCTGGCAACGGGCCAGTCCGCCACGTCCAAGAAGGGTCCAAGGCCACAGTGCCCCAAGTGCCCAGTGGTTCCATCAAACCAAAGATCACATCACCGGAGAAGTCACACAGAGTCACTTCTCCATCCAGTGGGTATTCCAGCCAGTCTAACACACCCACTGCACTCACCCCCGTGCCTGTGTTTTTAAAATCAATGTCACCAGCAAATGGGAAGGGGAAGCCCAAGCCCAAGCCCAAGGTACCAGAAAGGAAGTCCTCTCTGATATCTTCAGTGTCCATTTCCTCATCGTCCACTTCTCTTTCCTCTAATACTTCTACTGAAGGAAGTGGCACCATGAAGAAGCCGGATTCAACCTTGGCCTCCCCCCTGGCTCCTCCTCCTCCTCCTCTTCCATCTCCCTGTCTGGCAGACAGGTCTGCCTGCCTTCCTCCTCCTCCTCCTGTAGCAGACTGCTCCGAGGTCTCTCCTCTGCCTCCCTCTCCCGTCTTCCCCCCTCCGCCACCGGAAGCTCTAGCTCCCTTCTGCTCGCCCGCTGAACCGTGCTGTCCTCTTCCTGCCACTGCGATGGGGCCCCGTCTTCCAGATCCGTCTGCGTCCTGGCCGTCGCCTCCGCCTGTCTTACCCACTTCAGAGACCCCCCCTGCCCCACCTCTTGATGCCAAGTTCCTGAAAGACACCAGGCCTTCCTTCACAAGGCCTGACCAGCCAGAATCCTCTCGGGAGGCCTCTAGGCCACCTTCTACCAAGGAGGAGACCAGCAGACCCCCCATGCCCCTGATAACCTCAGAAGCGTTGCAGATGGTGCAGTTGAGGCCCGTGAGAAAGAACTCAGGCGCCGAGGCAGCACTGCTGTCTGAACGAACAGCTCAGGAAAAACGAACCCCAGTTGCTCCACAGTACCACTTAAAGCCATCTGCTTTCCTGAAATCCCGAAATAGCACAAATGAAATGGAGAGTGAAAGCCAGCCTGCCTCCCTGACAGGCTTGCTTCCGACGCCTGCCAAGAGCTCGATTCAGGGTGACCATGGCAGTGCAGCCGAGCGTGGCAGCCCTCCGAGCCACAGCCCTGGAGCTCCGGGCCTGGGGCCGAGCTCCAGGGAGGCCGAGGCTCGGCCTGGCCCCAGGACCGCCCCCCTCTCAGACTCTTCACCCAGCAGGAAGCCGCCTCCCATTTCCAAGAAGCCCAAACTGTTCCTGGTGGTGCCACCTCCACAGAGGGATTTCACAGCAGAGACTTCAGAGAACGTGAGCGAAACCCCCCGAGCCGCGCCCAGCCCCTCGAAGGGAGAGGAGGGCTCTGTGCACAGCAGAGAGACGCAGGAGAGTCCTGCAGCCTGGGCTGGTTCTCATGCCTCGTACCCTGGCAACTCGATTCTTGAGGGAGGAGCCACAGCATCAGTGTCCCCCGGCAGAGTGGAAGCCAATGTCCCCATGGTGCAGCCCAATGCCTCGCCAGCCCCCAAGCAGGAAGAGGCAGCCGAGGACAGTGCGGATGGTGGGGGCGCCCCGGAGCGCTGCCGGTCTCAACAGGACGGAGGGGGTGAGTCTGGCTTCTCTCTCCCTTGCCCCGCTCACCATACACAGCTGAGCCCCATTGCTGTTGCACGCTCACACGTGGAAGGAGCCCAGGTAGATCAGAGGAGACTGGTGTTAAGACCAGCAGGTGGGCTTCCTGTGCTACTGCACAGGTTACGTGACCAACTTTGCATTTTATGATTTTTTAAAAAAATCTAGATCTAGAGAATGGCAGAAAATAGAGGGATGGGTATCGTCCACAGTAGGCTGGGTATTAAATAGCAATGAGTAATCTTCCTTTTGAAGAGAGATTCAGTGGGCGTTCTATACTTTGACAGAGAGGACTGCACTCAGGCACTCTGGCTAGTGTCATTTCCCTCATTGCTGTGAACCATCAAACTACAGACCCCATGGCATCTCCCCATGGTCCTTACCTTCTCGTGAATGGCAGGGAAGCAGTGCATTTAGCAGCTTGGCTGAGGACCGAAACTCTAGTCACTGGTGCATCTCGTGTGCCTGTTTGCTTGTTTCTGCAGCTCAGGGGCCGGAGACCAGCACAGCCGGTTCTTCCTCAGAGGCCTGTGACCCCCTCAAGGAGGACGGGAGTGATGAGGTGATGACCCCCAGTAGACCCAGGACCACCGAAGATCTTTTCGCAGCTATTCACAGGTATCCAGAACTCCTCCCTTGTACTTCAGTCTACTGTCTAATTCCTTCTTTTCAAATGGCTCCTCGATCTATTTTTCTTTCTTGAGGTTTCTTCTGTCACCCAGTTGCGACTCCTTAACTTTATTTGTGCTTTTTTAAAGTGGGTTTCTAGAGTTGTATTGTGTCTGACTCTAATTTCTGTTTTACTGTGTCCCCTGATTTTCATGACACTGGGGACAAAGGCTCAGATCCCTTCTGATAGGTGCTGCTTTTGCTGGCAAAGAATGCGATGTGTCAGTCACGAGAGAGACGGATATTGAGGAGAGTTGGATTAAAGCAGTCGACGGGCCAGTGCCAAAGGAGTTTTCTGCTCTGTGGCCTTCGGCTGCACAGACTGGCTCTATAGGAATCCCTTCCGAAGGGTGTTTTAGTTTACTATTGTGTTTTTCATTTTACAGATTTTTAAGTGCAATTTCTTTGGCTGTTGAAATGTTTCTATAAAAGAGTACATCTCTTTTTAAGCAGGAGGAAGATGTGTGAAATTTGCTTGTTACTGTATACCGCTAGTGCCATCTACTGGCATCAGAAATTGTAGGGTTTAAAAAAAAAAAGCAGAGGGTAAATTTTTCAAAATAACTGCCTGAACTTACACGTTTTATATGTGGCCACCTTTAAGAGCGAATGTGATTTGGCATGGAAGTTTTGTTTATTGCCTCTTTTTTTCTGGTTGTAAACAGCTGAGTTCTCCTACAGCAGTGTCATTGTAAAAGTACTTTAAGCCAGAATGCTGTATAAACCTTTTGCTTCCTTCTGGACTTCTTTACGACAGTACTTTCAGGTAACTCTAATGAATGCCGTTGTGCTGCCGTGGCCTTATCATGCCCTTCATGAAGGGTTTTGTTTTTGTTTTTGTTTTCTTCCTGAAACAAAGCATCCTGTAAAATCATTTGATACTTTGTGTGAATGATCTTTGTCAGCGTTGTTTTCTCAATTCTTGGAATCTAACTGAGAAGACTGTTGCATAATATGTAAGCATGGTGCTGTGTCTACCTCAGCCTCCCCACGCCACATATAAACTTCTTCTTTTTATTTTATTTTTTTGAGTTGGAGTCTCACTCCGTCGCCCAGACTGGAGTGCAGTGGCCGCTCCCAGTCACTGCAGCCTCGACTTGCTGGGCT